GCTTATTGTGGTTCGACCCCTCGAGGGGGAGTTCTTCCTCTGTGAAGGTGAGGTGATCGCTTGCCATAATGTGACCGACGATCCTCTCAACTTTTTCTTGGGATATGGAGTGAGGTACGTGCGCCTCGCTCAAGACCTTCAGTAGGGCGTTTCTGTGCGGTTCCGAGCTCATTATTAGGGATAACAATGTTATCTTCGCAGGTGTGCGATTGAGCTGGTCTATAATGGAATACTCGCTTTGCCTTATGAACTGGAGTAATTCCTCTGTCTCCTCCTTGGATTCCTTATTTTCTTTTTCTTCTTCGGTCTTTTTATTTATTCCTTTATTTTTGGGGACATCTTCTTGTGAGTCCTTGGGGGAATATATTCTTCAACTTCTAGTCATGCCCCCAATACCGGCTATATTCGTAATATTCGCTTTTATTGGTGAAGATTCCCTGTATCTCCACGGTACAACTTTATTTGATTCGTAGGGGAAAGGATGTGGCATAAAAAGTCGCACTAGTGTCCTTGCCCCCTCTTCCTTATTTTTGAGAACCAACGGTCGAGGCTTATTTTCCTCTTGTGATGAGTCGACCGTTGGAGAGAGCTTGATTAGGAGTGGCTTTCTCTCCATTCTTCTGATTTGGAAGACGTGTCAGTTAATCCTTCCTTTTTATTAAGCGTGAAGGTGGGGAAATTAAATATGCAGATGAATGATTATGCATGCAAGTAGACAATTGTTGAATAAAAGAAAATTTTCATTTATCCGTTAGAAGGTGTACATTCCCCTACTCCATACTACAAAGCAACTTTTGGCAAAAACAGAAAAGCCTAAAGAAACCCACAGGCGGGTCTTGATCTCTATCTAATTCCCTTTCGGCTTCCCGGACGTGACGAGCAAATGCTTCGCTTTGCTTCTGGACTGCCTAGCTCATATCTTCACTGTACTTTTGAGCCTCTTTGATCTTCGTCTCTTGATGGACGACCAAGGCTTGCAGTTCATCGAGTTTTGCAAGAGCTCGGTCCTTCTCTTGTAGTACTTGGCCGTACTGAGCTAGCCCGTCTCTTTCTTTGCAGCGTAGCTCAGTGAGACTTTTGTTGAGTCTCCGATTGGCCTCCCGCTCTTGGCGTATTTTTGACCGAGTCTTGGTGAGTTCTTGCAACAACTCCTTGATCGTTTGAGCCTATTTTGCTGATTCGGCCTCAAGGCGTGCTGATTTGGCCGTTATTTCCTGAAGTTGGCTATCCGAGCCGGTTCTGGCAGTTTTGGATGCTCGGATAGCTTGCTCGTTAGAGTCAGCACACTGGTCCTTGAGGCACTCTATTTCATGATCCTTTTTCTTGCCTTGCCTTTGCAGACCGTCAATGGTGAGGATAGATTCTTGCTCTCTCTCTTCAAGGGCCCTCATCTAGGCTCCCATGATTTCTATCCTCTGGGTCAAGGCGTCGACTTGAGCCTGCAGCTCTTCACTATTGGCGCTTGTAATGAGTGAGGTGGATGGTTGAGACATCCCTCTTCTTCTTCTCCACACCTCATAGTCACCGGAGACAGTCACTCGAGCTTTTCCTAGCTCTCTATCTCCCATATAGACTGGTCTCTCCCATGCTTTTCTCACGGCTAGTGAGTTGGCGATTGTGCATGGGTCTTCGAAGAAACACAGTCCTCCGAGTTCCCCTCGAGAAATGGTAGTTTGGGTTCTCATGAGCTGCCTCATAGCTACTCTAGGTGAGTAGGCTATGCAACCCCTGAGTCCTATCAAGGGTACGTTCGGATAATCTCCACATCGGATGAGAACTGGGCCGGGTCGGAACCATGGGCAGACCCAGGATAAACTGTTGGCGTCCAAGTTTTCAACTCGTCCTTCCATTCTGAAGTTAAGCGTCGTTGGAGAGGGATTTTGGAGAAGCTCCTTAAAGGGTCGGGGAATATCCCCATGTGACTAGAGGCGTAAAAATGTGTAATGCCCCACACGAAAAGTAGTGAAGAGCAGCAACAAAGTATTTTTCCTTGCTTCTGGTGGTAGAAATCCACCAAGAGCAAGGTGTTGGCAAGAATTGCAGGCAAGGAACTCTTCGAGTTTACGTCCTAGGCGAAGAAGGCGTCCATGACGGCTTGATCCACTGTGTCGAGGTGGAAGGGAAACAATATCGCTCCAAATATTATTAAGGCCAGGGTTTTGTTAAAAGCGACCCATTCTGCCCTTTCAGCCAAATTGGACAGATGGTCTTCTAACATTGAGACCTTCCAACCCTGGATGTTCCCTTTTCCTATCAGGGTAGCCTGCCGGAATGGCAGTTGAATGATGGCAACGACTTGTGCTGCAGGAGTATACGCCCTATGGCGGATATGGACCCCGGCTGATTTGGGCCATTTCAACATGATTTCATACTCCTCTAAGGTGGGCACCATATCAAACTGTGTAAATTCGAAGCATCGCAAATTGGAGTTCCAAAAGTGAACTAATACCCTGACGAAAACTTGGTCGACACAGATCTTCAGCAAGTCGAGAAACCGTCCATAGGATTTCTCAAAGTCGGAGCGGACCTCTGGTGGCATTACCGCGCTTAGCCGTTCCAATTTCTCAGTATGGTATCGGGGAATATCCACCTTCTTCAATTGTCTACTAGTCCCCTCCATTTTCTAAAACCAAAATGCATGTTTTATGAAAATGATGCTTATTGAATGAATGTGAGTGTTTATTTTTATTTATCATGTTTTGTATGATGCATTTTTTTTTTAGAAATAAACTACTTATATGGGGGTAATATTTTCGAACCAAGTCCCATTTATTGCTTTAGAATCAGAATTTTCATTTGATTTTATTTCTATTTTATTTTATAGCCTTTTATCTCTTCTGTCGGACTGCGTGGCTACTTAGCTTACAAAGAACCTGAAACCAGGCTAGCTAAAAGGCAGACTGTCCAAGATAAAAATATGGCTTTATGCGAAAGAATTGGTTAACGTCCCCTATCTCTTCTGTCGGACTGCGTGGCTACTTAGCTTACAAAGAACCTGAAACCAGGCTAGCTAAAAAGCAGACTGTCCGAGATAGGGGTGTTTATTGCAAAAATATTTTTTGATTTTGTGATTTATTCTGTTGTTTGGTTATGCTATGCAACAGACAAATGCAACAATCATATGCACACACAATTCGAACATCCACGAATAGGCGAGAAGTCGTTTTAATCACAAGGTAGGGTTTTCTTGCAGAAAAGTGCATTGGCGAAGGTAGGTTCTAACTGTTCTCACCAAGGCTAAGGCCCCCAAGGTTCCCCCACTATAGGGTCCCCACTCTCCAGCCTTCCGACCATGCTTAGCACTAAGGCCATAGTCAGTCTTTGTGCCAAAAGAGGAAGGTTATCACCTTGAGTGGTGGTTTCCGATCACACCGATGGGCATAAGGCCATCACTACAGCGAACCGTACCTGCCACCCACTCCCTATGGTTTTCTCACTTGCCCCCGGGTATAGAGGGAACTGTTGTGTGCAAGGGTTTGTGTACAATTTGTATTTCAAACAATTGCGTAAGTATAAACAGACAACAGTTATTAAAGCCAAGCAATAAAATATGTTATAATACAAAGCAGGGTAAAAGCGTTATTTTCTTGGTTTATTTACTTTAAGCTGACTCATCACTAAATGGGATCAACTCTCTAGGCTTCCCTAGTGGAGTCGCCATCTGTCGCCGCCGTCAAAATGAGGGTGGTCAGAGCGACGCGATTGTTCCGACTTTCCAATTTTCGCGTTTTTATTGGTGTGGTTACAACGCCTTTAGGTTGTCCGATAACCGGGCTAAACCTAGGAGCGAGGTTTTCGAAAAGACATTCTTGGATTGTCCGATAACTGGGCTAAACCAAGAACTAGCTTTTTAGGGTTCTCTGGAGTCACCACCGATGTTTTTACCGGAAACATCGGAAAAGGAGTTTAAAAGGTGTTGGTTTTCGAAAAACCAACTTTGGTCATTAGAACCAGAGTTGGGTAAGGGAGTTAGTTACGCATAAAGGAAGTGTTAGTTCCTTTACGACGCCCCTTTCAGGTTCCCTATGATAGGCCAGCTATTTAAAAAATAATTAAACCGGAAAATACGCTTTTACCCTTTTATTGTGCGAAATTTAAAATTATGACTACATGGCCCTAGTTTCTATTGCGTAATTTAAAATAAGGCAGTAAAAGATAGAGAGAGAAAGTATAAACCTCCGAAGCAAGCTTTTCTATTAAATCTTTGCAAAAATAGGGTGCTTTGTGGCAGCCCTTCGCTCTACACAGCGTCGGAAACCTCTCGAAACGCTCAAAAACACTCTTAGAAATGCTTAGAAACTCCGAAAATGCTTTGAAGGGGTTCTAAAGAGAGAATTTAATGAAAATTCTAGAGAGAAGGAGGAAGAACTCTTGGAAATGAAGAGAATGAGGGCCCTATTTATAGGGATTCGCACCTCTTAGGTCGAGACGGCGGTCTCGCCTTGCAGGAATGGCGAGACAGTGGTCTCGAATCCGAGACGACGGTCTCGACCTCAAAAGGCGAAAATCCTTATTTTTGAGCCAAAAATCCCTCCTATCCTTGTATGGGGCCTAATAGTCTCTCCTAGTGGCTTCTTAGGCTTCATCCATCTTCGAATAGAAGGTCTTATGGTCTTTATTAAGAGACCAGGCAAGTTTTGGGGTCTACACCTAGCCTATATAAAAAAAATATATTGTATCTTGTTCATCAGTAATAACATTTTAACAGTTATAATTCCCTTTCTTCTCTGAGTTCCGAGAGAAAGTGAGGTTAGGAGAGAATTTCATATTCAATCTAACATGCCCTCACTCACTCTGTTCCTCCCCCTCAACCGAGTCCAACCACCACACCACCGCAACCCACAACCTCTACCCATACCCGCATCTTCTCCCTCACCGTCACCCCTCTTCCAATATCAGTTCTCATGTCTTGTCTCTCAAAACCCAAAACCCAAAACAAAAACCTCACATCTCTGCACTTTCATGTGATTCACTTATAGAAACACAAAAGAGTAGAGGAAATGTTATGGTCCTTGGGAAGAACCACAGTGACCCATCATTCATGGCATCACAAGCACGCTCCTTGCTCGTCTCTCAGCCACTCTTCTAGGACCCCAAAGCCCATAACACCCTTCAAATCTGATCCCAAAAAACCCACCTCCTCTGTCGTTTCCGCCCCACTCTAAGATGAATAAGAACGTATCTGGCAACTCGCCATCGATGACAAGAACCCTTCACTTGATGTGGGGCCTAATGGTCGTCCTCTATTGACCTCGGCGCCTTCCCTCTCCCACCTCTCCTACAACGATGCCCGCACCTACTTCAAGCTCACGTACTGTTCCAACTAACCTCATTTTTCATTGTGGCATTTTGTCGAAGAGTATGTCGAATGGGGTCTATCGAATGGTGGTTAGTGGTTCTGATGGTTTAGTTTTGAAATTTTTTGAGGTACACTGCTCTTCGATGCCTTAGATATGAATATACTCTGCGTTGGCTTTTAGGCATCTACTTATTTAATTTATTTGTTATTTAAAACCAGGTCCCCACAGGTTGGAAGTTCTTTGGTAATTTAATTGATGTTGGATTATGTTCAGTATGTGGTGAAGAAAGTTTTGGGACTAGTATGTTTTTGGCATGCATTATCAAGAGCAAATTAAAACTTTGAACTTTTCTAAAACCCAGTTATATCTTGTGATTACTCCTTGTGTTTGTGGGTAGGTTCTAATCATCTTCATGAGAAAGATGGAATTTGGCCAGTTTTGGCCTGGCTATCTATACTTGCATATTAAAACAAAGATAAACTAGTATTTAGCTGTCCACTGCAAGCTCCCTTCTCCAGCTTGGTTTATTCTATTATCCTTTTTGGTTCGTTTCTCATTATGCTTACAATGAATTTCTTTTCCTAGTAATTTTACTGAACAAATCTTACTAAAAGATAGGAAAAAGAAAAATGAGGCTTCATGTTTTCATGTTTTGGTTTTTTGTCTTGGGGTTTTGCAATTTTTTGTAAAAGGAAGTGTTTTCCACCTTATCTCAAGCAGTTGTCTTCCTTGCTTTGTTTTTCGTATGTTTGTCTCCTACATGAATGGTGGATAATACTGTGGTATGGACATTTTTTATTAATGATTTAACTTGTTTGTAGGAGTATAATAAAATGACTGAATAACTGGCGGTGACAAAAATCATTGTTGTGCAAGGGAAAAGGTTGGTGTTCCGGGATTTCAAGACCAGTGATCCTTATGTTGTGCTCAAATTAGGGAACCAGGTAAATAGGATTGACATGTCAATTTCATTTTTAGCTTTTTTTCTCTTGACATTAACTTTGTGTAACTTATTTAACCTCGAAATGCTTCTGAACTGTACTGGACTGCAAAGACCAAGGTAATTAATAGTTGCTTGAATCCTGTTTGGAATGAAGAGCTAAATTTCACTCTGAAAGAACCCCTAGGTGTTCTGAATTTGGTGAGTTTCAAATATCTAGTATGCCCCTTCATTCTTGCTTTCTTCAATCTCTAGTTTATCAGTCCTTTTTGAAAGGAATATACTTTCCTTTAGTGCTTATGAAATAGATTGGTGATTTTTCTTGTGATATTTTTGAAAGAATAAATTGTGTTTTAGGTCCTTTAGATTTTGGTTAGTATTATAAATAATGATTTTTGTTTCTCTTATTTTTATAATCGATTAATTTTGTCCTTCATTCTAGCATAGTGTTCCATGTAAAGGGTTGAAGTCAACCATAAGAACTAAAACTAAAATCAATCTTGACAAAAAGAAATAAGAATCTTGTTGTATTCACATTGAGATTGAGCACAATTGTGTTAGCATGACCTGTTTTGATATGAATTCAAGTTGTAATGTGTGAGCAACTTGTGAGGCAGTTCTGCATGTGAGTACTTTACTATTATAATAAATTGTCTAGGGATTTAAAGATGATGGGTTATGTACCATACTTAGGAGATAAGCATGTTTGAGAAAATAGAGAGGAAGTAATAGATTGTTGTGAAAATGACACTTGTTCACGTGCACTTAATTTACTTAATATATAATGAGATAATTTTATAGTTTAGATAGAATATGATTAAGAGAACATGTTAGAAAAATAGTTTATTATGTTGATTAATTGAGTATATATAATTAATATCTTTAAATATAAAACTGAAATAATGAAATAAGTAAATTTTAAAAAGAAAATATTTAATAGTAGAGAATTATAAAATATTGTAATTTTAACAAAGTTATGCCCTCATGGACACTAGTTATTGTTAGCCTAATATATAATTAAATTAGTTTTTATAGTTTTACTAAGATATGCATTTATTTATTCTTCTTTGTTGAATGTTGTACTAATCATATTTGAGTTTTCAGGGATAAAAAAAAGATAATGTGATATAGTGAAGATGGAGAAGAAGAATTGATTTTATCATCAATTTTATTATGCACAAGCAGTTTGGCCAAACAATATATGGGAGAAGATAGATTTGTAATATTTTAAAATATAAATTGAATATTTGTTGTATTTATGTCATTTTATTTTAATATATTTTTATGTTTTTTTTGAATTTTTAATATATAAAAGTTTAATTATTATGTGGAGAATTATCTAATTTTAATAACATTTAAATTAATTTTGGTGTGATTTATTCGTACCAAATAAATAAATATATATATATAATATAATAACAGGTTTATTAAAAAAGAAAAACTTTAGTGTCTAAATATAGTGATATTATATTTTTAAATTAATTATTAATTTGGTCATTAATTTGGTCACTGATTTGATTACTCGATTTTATTACTTGAATTGGTTACTGATTCAGTTATTGATTCGATAATTGATTTGGTCATCGATTCGATAACTGAATCAATCACTAAATCGGTCACTAATTCGAGTCATTGATCTCGGTCACTAATTTAGTCACTGAATCGGTTACTAATTCAGTCACTGAAATCGATCACTGAATCGGTTCCTAAAATCAGTGACCAACGAAATAGTGACCGATTTCAATTGGTTCTATTTTAGTTAGTGACCGAATTTTCGGTCACTATTTGGTATTTTTCTTATAGTGTGATGTTCCCTTAGTATAATTAAGACTAGTCTAAGATGACCTATGTGTTCACCTAGACTTCTACTATAAATTAAAATGTCATCAAAATAAATAACGAAAAACCTTCCTATGCAATCCCTAAGGACATGGTTCATTAATCTCATGAAGGTGCTAGGGTGTTGGTCAAGCTAAAAGGCATGACTATCCATTCGTATAATCCAAATTTGGTCTTAAAAGCGGTTTTCCATTCATCTCTCTCTTTAATTCTTATTTGGTGATATCCACTTTTAAGATCAATTTTGGAAAATATGTTAGCCCCATGCAATTCATCCAACATATAATCTAGCCTAGGTATGGGATGTCTATATTTTATAGTGATGTTGTTGATAGTCCTATGTCGCCGCCGTCTCAAAAGAGAAGGTCGGTCGGAGCGACGCGATGGTTTTTTCGACCCTCTTTGATTTTCGCGTTTTTTATTGGTGGTTACAACGCTTTTAGGTTGTCCGATAACCGGGCTAACCTAGGGGTGAGGTTTTCGAAAGTATCCCTGGGTTGTCCGATAACCGAGCTAACCCAGGGACTTATTTAATTTTGGGTTCTATGGAGTCGCCACCGATATTTTTACCCCAAACATCGGAAAAGGGGTTTTAAAAAGGCGTTGGTTTTCGAAAACCAACTTGGTCATTAGAACCAGAGTTGGGTAAGGGAGTTAGTTACGTGTAAAGGAAGTGTTAGTTCCTTTACGACGCCCCTTTCGGGTTCCCTATGATAGGCCGGCTACTTTATGTAAATAATTAAACTGGAAAATTGCGCTTTTACCCTTTTATTATGCGGTATTTAAATTCATGACTACATGGCCCTAGCTTCTATTGCGTAATTTAAATGGAAGTAAAAAAATAGAGAGGGAGAATATGCACCTCCAAAGCAAGCTTTTATATTTCTTTAAAGAGAGGGTGCGTTTTGGCAACCCTTCACTCTACAACTCTCAGAAACTCCGGAAATGCCTCGGAGGGATTCTAAAGAAGATTTAGAACGCTCAGTTTATGCCTAGAGACACTCAGAAACTCCGGAAATGCCTCGGAGGGATTCTTAGAGAGAGAAAGTCTAGAGAGAAGGGAGAGCTTCTTGGATTCTGTGTGTGGAAATGAGGGGGGGAGGACCCCTATTTATAGTTTTTCGCGCCTGACAGGTCGAGACCGCCGTCTGGAAAGTCCAGACCGCCGTCTCGTTCCTGGCAGAGGGTCGAGACCGCCGTCTGGGAAATCCAGACCGCCGTCTCGACTGGGCAGGAATCAAGACTGCCGTTTGGGAAACCCAGACCGCCGTCTCGACCTTTGCAGGAGACGAGACCGCCGTCTGGAAAATCGAGACGGCGGTCTCATCCTGGCGTTGAGACGAGACGACGGTCTGGTCCTTCCAGACGCGGTCTCGTCCCTTCAGGGCGAGAAACTTTATTTTTCGGGCCAAAAAACCTTCCTATCTTGGTACGGGGGCCTAATAGTCTCTCCTAGTGGCTTGTTAGGCTTCGACCGTCTTCAAATAGGAAGCTTTCTGGCTTTATTTGGAGGCCGGGCAAGATTTGGGGTCTACAGCTCCCCCCCTTTACCCGACTGGTCGACTGTTGGCTTGTCATGCCAGACAGGTAGACAGGAAGGTAAAGGAGTTGACCCTCTTGCCCGGCTACCCTTCGCATGTCCCGTCTTGTGGCAGGTGATCCTCTGGGGAGATGTTGTGTTTGTGCACCACTGGAATACTACTCCTGACGTAGCCGATCCCTTTGGTTGACACGTGGTAGAACCTCCGGATACTACTCCTGACGTAGCCGATCCTTCGGTTGATGGGTATAAACCCCCATCAGGCTGGTAGTTACAGTCTGTTGTGTGGGACTGGATGGGTATGAACCCCCCATCAGGCTGGTACGGTCCGTTGTGTGGGACCGGATGGGTATGATCCCCCCATCAGGGTGGTAGTAGCGGCTTACTGTTCGGGTGGCCCATGCGCCGTTCAGGCACTCCTTGTGTGCTGGTTGATAGGTATAAACCCCCTATCAGGCTGGTACAGTCCGTTGTGTGGGACTGGATGGGTATGAACTCCCCATCAGGCTGGTACGGTCCGTTGTGTGGGACCGGATGGGTATGATCCCCCCATCAGGGTGGTACAGTTCACTCTGTTGAACTGGTGGTGGTGGCGTCTTACAGCTCAGGTGGCTCATGCGCCGACTCCTGGGGAGTGATCTCTGTGTTGGTAGGTTGTTCTTGTACTTCTTGAATGTTCATCCGGACTGCGCCGGGGATTTTGTGTTTCATCCAGCTTTGTTGGTTGCTGGGGATTCTTTGTTTCTGAATTTTTTGTGGCAATCATTCGACTCTTGCTGGCTGGTCGGGTTCCTCTTTTCTCTTTTTGTGTTTGACTTTTGCTTGGTAGTTGATTTTATTGGTTTAATCCTGCCTTTTTCTCGCGGTTTTATTTCTTTTTTCTCGCAATTTTGGATTTTGGCTTTTTCCTGAGCGTATGCCTTTTTCTTTTAAGTTCTTTTTTTGTTACGCTGACTTTTTTTGTAAAAGATGGCAAAAGGTCGGCGAAGTCGTACCGGGATACCCTTTTTTATTGTTTTTAAGAATGCAGGTATGAACGCTTTTTGATCTTTTATTTGTTTGTTCTACTTTTGACAAAGTCATTTTTGTGTAACTACTTGTGTGTGGATGCTTTTTAAGCGATTTGTTTTAGTTGAGGACATCTAGAAA